TGTATTTTTTTTTTTAGTAGAGACGGGGTTTCACCGTTTTAGCCAGGATGATCTCGATCTCCTGACCTCGTGATCCGCCCGTCTCGGCCTCCCAAAGTGCTGGGATTACAGGCTTGAGCCACCGCGCAATGTCTTTTAAAATAAACTTTTATTAGAACACAGCCATGTTCATTTGTTGATGTATTTATCTGTAGCTGCATTTTTTGCAGAATTGAATAGTTGCCACCAGAGACCATGTAGCCCACAAACTCTAAAATACTCTCTGGCCGTTTACAGAAAATGTTTGTTAACCCTTGGTTTAGAACAAAGAGACATGGGTTACAATTTAAAATCAGAATCTCTTTAGTTTCCCTCCAACCAACTCCACCACTGATTGTGTTACACATACACACACACAGGTACTCACTCACTCTCTCTCTGTCTCCCCACATCTCTGACAGTATGTATCAAATATCTAAGGCTGTTATTTTCTTATCCAGCCTTTAAACACTGGTGTTCCTTAGAGATCCAGCCTGAATATATAGTCATTCAACATGGACAATCCTATTCACTTGTAGATTTAACAACCACTAATAGGATAATGATTTCCCAATCTATATTACTAGCCATGACCTACCTCTGAGTGTTCAAGTGTTACCGGATATACTCTCTTGAATATCACCACCACATGTCCTCAAATCGAATGTAGTAAACATTTGTTTGTTGCCAGCTCAACATCCATTTCCCCGATCTCCTAATAATATCCCTTTTTTTTTTTTTTTTTTTTTTTTTTGATACCTACCTTTTCCCACATAGCCTATCATAGCCTATGAGCTAGGAGGAAGATGACACTATCAGTCAGGATCCAGGCAGGAAATGGAAGGCACAATCAGTTGAGATTGTGAAAAGTGTATGGGCCACTTTTCTTCTTTTCTTTTCTTTTTTTTTTTTTCAAGACAGGGTCTCACTCTATTGCCCAGGCTACAGTGCAGTGGCGAGATCTCAGTTCATTGCAACCTCTGCCTCCCAGGTTCAAGTGATCCCCCACCTCAGCCTCCCAAATAGCTGAGACCACAGGTGTGTGCCACCACACCTGGCTAATTTTTTGTATTTTTGGTAGAGACAGGGTTTTGCCATGGTTACCTGGGCTGGACTCAAACTCCTCAGCTCAGGCAATCCTCCCACCTCAACCTCCCAAAGTGTTGGGATTACAGGCATGAGCCACCATGCTCAGCCTAGGTCACTTTTCGAAGGGACTTTTCCCAAGGTTAAGGAAGCTGACATCAGCACAAAGCCTTTACCATCCCCAAGTCTGAAGGGCAAAGGGAGGAAATGGTGTTACTAGATCCTGGTAAGAGTGGGAGCTGTGGGCTACCTGACAGTGGCTGTTGTTAGAGGGATACAGGCACTACGGATCATGGCACCAAGAGAGGGAGGGAGCAGGAAATACATACCCTGATCTTCTCTCTCCTGCCCTCCAATCTCCTGCCAAAGCCTCCCGTTGGCCAAATCTAACTGGAAACCGGAGGAAGAGAGCCTGAATGATGTACTCTATACAGTCAGCTTTCCAAAGAGTAGAGTAGAGCAGAGAACGAGTCTGGTGGGAGGGGAGAAAACTAAAAGTAAACAGCAACTGACTTTACTGCCAGCTGAGGCTGACTCGGATTTACCTAAACCAATCATTACATCTAGTGGTGTACTGGTAAACAGCAAAACATTTTCACAAAAAATAAAAAGCCCCAGATACATAGGGTTGGACAATTTCTGTGGTGCAAACACTCCTATCATGGTCAATTTCAAGCTACACATGTTAAGTCCCTAATACACCCCAATCATATCCTCCCAATCACAAAGATAGGTTTTGGGTCAATATGTGATCTAAGTTAATCCAATCAAAGCGAGTTTCAGAAAACCTGCTTTAAAAGTTATTTAATGCCCTCCACCCCACGCCTGCCTTATTTTTTGTTTTTTTGAGATGGGGTCTCGCTATGTTGCCCAGGCTGATCTTGAATTCCTGGGCTCAAGTGATCCTCCCATCTTGGCCTCACAAAGTGCCGAGATTATAGTCAAGAGCCACCATGCCCAGTCCTCCATGCCTTGTTTATGCTCCTGTCTACGTCTAAAATTTTCTTCACTCCCTATCTCTAACAAACTTATTCCTCTTTCAAGATTTAACTTCACCTCCAGGAAACCTTTCCTTTATTCTCATGCCAGATCAAAGCATCTCTTCTCCATCCTCATGGTTTCTAATGCATTTATCTCTTAGTATCAGACTCCAAAATCATCTATTGACTTATGTCTTCTCCAGTAGATCCTGAGCCCATCAAAACAGAGCCTAGCGTACTGTGGATGTCTAGTAACATTTATTCAACTAGACCAAACCAACAACGGTTTCCTTTTTTTTTTTTTTTTTTTTTGAGACAGAGTCTCACTCTGTCACCCAGGCTGGAGTGCAGTGGCGTGATCTCAGCTCACTGCATCCATGGATGAACTAAACTACTCTATACTGTTAGACATCAGGGTGTTGACTCCTTTTTGGGGAGAAAGGATAATGACGGGAAAGAAGTACAAAAGAAGGCTTTTGGAATGTGAGAAACATTCTATATATCCTGATTTGGGTGCTAGTTACCCATGTGTGTTCAGTTTCTGAAAATTCATTGAGCTGTATACACTTATGACATGTGTACTTTTCTCTACATATATTATACTGAAATTAAAAAATGATTTAAAACCAATGGATGCAAGATAGTTTGTCTCTTCCACTCATAAAAAAAAAAAATACCAATCCCACATTAATTCACTCAGAAATGTCCATCCCAGGCCTAATGCCCTTATCTCTTCATCTGAGCAGAAAAGCATTCCTGCCAGGTAAAAACAGCCAACTATAGAAATATTCATAATAATTAACAAAAACTGTTTGGGGGAAAAACAAGAAAATCATATTTTAACATAAGTAATTTTACACATGAAAGAATTAAACGTGTCAATAAAGCCCCCAATCTTGTATGCCCCATTTTCTAAAATATAAATCTACTGATATTTTATTCATATTGCACACTTAAGTAAAAAAGAGAAAAGTTTAAGAACCCTAGGTCCCCTAGTCTACCATTTCTAAATACTTAGATAACTGATATAGCAGGACCAGACTTATAACTTAAGGTGAATTCAAATAATCTAATAATTTAAGTGGCCTTATCTTTGAAAACAAAAGGCAAATAAACACTGACATGAAACCAAACTCTACCACATAAGATTTAAAAGACCAAACAAATGGATGAACCTTGAAAACATGCAAAGTGAAAAAAGCCAGTCACCAAAAGCACACATTGTGTAATTCCATTTAGTTTATTTATTTATTTATTTTTTTAAGGCAGGGTCTCACTCCATCACTCATGCTGGAGTGCAATGGTGCAATCCCAGATCACTGCAACTCCTGCCTCCCAGGTTCAAGTGATTCTTCTGCCTCAGCCTCCCAAGAATCTGGGATAACAGGGGCATGCCACCACACTCAGCTAATTTTTTTTTTTTTTTTTTTTTTTTTTTTTTTTGTGGTAGAGATGGGGTTTTACTATGTTGGCCAGGCTGGTCTCAAACTTCTGACCTCAAATGATCCGCGCACCTTCCCAAAGTGCTGGGATTACAGATATTATTCTATTTATATAAAATGTCCAGAATAGGCAAATCAATAGATACAAAAAAATAGACTGGTGGTTGCCAGGGGCAAACAGAAATGGGGAATGAGATGTGATTGTTAATGGGTATCAGGTTTCTCTTTGGGATGATGAAAATGTTCTAAAATTGATCGTGGTAATGATTGCATAACTGTGAATATACTAAAAACCATTCAATTATGCCCCTTAAGGGAGTAAATTGTATGGCATGTGAATAATATGATAAACCAGTTGTTTCTTTTTTGTTTTTGTTTTTTGAGACGGAGTTTCGCTCTTGTCGCCCAGGCTAGAGTGCAATGGTGAGATCTCAGCTCACTGCAACCTCTGCCTCCTGGGTTCAAGCGATTCTCCTGTCTCAGCCTCCTGAGTAGCTGGGATTATAGGCGCCTGCCACCACGCCTAGCTAATTTTTTTTGTATTTTTTAGTAGAGACGGAGTTTCACCATGTTGGTCAGGCTGGTCTTGAACTCCTGACATCAGGTGATCCAGCTGCCTCAGTCTCCCAAACTGCTGGGATTACAGGCAAGAGCCACACACCCTACCACCAGTTATTTTTTAAAAGGCAAAATATCTATTCCACAAGTACACAGAGATCGTAAAATCAACTTTTAATGTTTCATTGAATTATATGATCTGCTGGACTTGACACATGCTCTTCAAAGCAAAATGACATTAGATTTAAGAAAACACCATTTCCAGATTTTTTTCCTCAATAAGACAGTATTTGAGTATGTCGTGTGTGTGTGTGTGCGTGTGTGTGTGTGTGAAAGAGAGAGAGAGTGGATTGGGTGTATTAGGAGTGACAGTAGGCCAGCCTAAATACCATATGGCAAAGTAATTTAGCTAAAAAACTGGAGACTTATGATGACACAGGCAGCTGGGAGGGATCACGGGGTGTGCTGGCAACATGAATATTAGTCACCAGTTAAAATAAAAACTTTCCAGCCTTATCTGCTAAGATTTAGGACACCTGAAGTCTTTACATTAAAGTATTTATATAATATTAAATATCTCTTTCAGAAATCCCCATTACCCTCAAGGAAATTTTATAAAGCTAGCAATTCACTCTAATGCTAGATATACTAATATTTTATTTCCCAGGAAGACACACATACATAAAATCCAGGAAATTAAAATGAAGTACATTAAAATGAAGGTAATTAGGTTGAACTGAAATTTATGCAATTTGAAAATTATATGAAAGCAAAACTCACCTAAATTTTAAGATGTGAATGTCAAGTGTGAATACCCTACTTCTGATACTACTTAATAGATTAAATTTTAACAGAATTAAATGCTCTTTCTTGTATTAAAAAAGTTATTAAAATGCTAAAGTAGTTGATTTTCATCAATATGCTTCTCTATAATGAATCACATCACATCTCTTCTGTGACTAACAAATATTTCATTTTACAGACCACAATAATCACCTACAAAAAATAAAATTACCAACTGTCATGATTTTGTTTCCCAAAACTACTGGGACAAACTACTGAATGCTAGAACTGTCATTTTTCTAATCAGGGTATACAGCGCCCAAACCACAGCAGTCAACCTCATCACAAAATAACACCCAGTGCTCCCAAAGCCAGAGCGCTTTGTGGTTCCATCAAGTATGCCATCACCAAACTACAATGACAGGTCACGCAAGGTGGAAAGCTCCCAAGGCTCAGAAAAGGACTGACAAAATACCAACTACCCGCAACGATGTGGTGATGACATCGTCCCAACGTCCCGCTCCCTCCTTCCCTCCCAGAACTAAGCGGGGGCTTTTCGGAGACCCTCCCCACCCGGAACCGGAAAGGCGACCATCTTCCCTAACCCCCCAAGCCGGAAGTGGAGCGTAGCCAGCCGGAGCACTCACCCTGGAAGAACAGGACGCCGAGCAGAGGGAAGAGAGCGCAGCCACGGCCTCCAGCTGCTCCGCTCTGCTGCATCCCGGCAGCTCTCCAGATGCTTGCACACCTTGTTTACAGCTCCCAGTAACGACACAGGTAACGCCGGAAGTGACGTCAGGGCAGGGGGCCGAGAGACAACTTAAAGGGCGATCCGAAGTTACCATAGGAACCTGGCTTCTTTCCAGAACCACACCTGGTTTCACTGACCAGCGATTCATTAACTTTCAGGCGGGAGCTAATTTTTCTATTTTGCTTGAAAATGAAGTAGGCTACAGACTTTAAATATTTACAAGTTTGTTTTTGTGGAATTCTGCAGAACTAAATAATTTTGATGCTCTGCATATCAGACATCGTTTTTTACGTCTCGAGATTTAGTTGAAGGTTCTCAGAATACGCTCCCGTAAATTTAGAGTTCAGAAACACCTGGGAGATTATACAGCATAGATAAATATATATTGGGCGCTGGTAGTGATATGTGCCACAAGCCTCATTGGTGGTTGTCCTTTTTAGGGTAACTATCACAGCATCCAAAATTGGGGGTTTATTAAATTACTTTTGGCAGTGGCAATGATGATCAAATCATTATAGCCTGTATTAGAGGAAAAGGAGAACTGGGATTTGTGTGTCTTTGGTTGGAAAAGTAAGAAAGTTATGTTATCACAGTACTTGAAGTGAGGTGGCGTCACATACTTCTGAAAAAGAGATGGTACAATAAGTACACTGCTGTAATAATCAGTAAGCCTCTTCCCTGGAAATAGCCACGTGTCAATGAAAGCAGGAGAATAAAAGTATGCTTTCGCTTTGGGAAAGAATAAGTTTCCATTTTTCAATTTCCATTCCTTTACTGGACTTGAAAGCCAGTAGTTTTCCCTATTAAAAATGTAATGCAAAGTACTAAATATAATCTTTGATACTTTTCTTTGAAAGAACGCTCAAACTAAGTAGTGTTGTTATGCCCAATTCCCAGCTATCCAAAGCAATGTGAAAATTCTGTGGAAATCCGTATACTTCTGTTTACCCAGTAGAAACTAATGTATCCATTATTGACTTGCAGGTTGTCTCTACTAAGAAAACTTTTCAGTAAAGATAAAATATATATCCATCTGTTTTCCCTGCAGTGTAGAACTTTTAGATATGTATATACACAAATTATATAATTGATAATTCTTTATTACTAAAGGTTTATTTACATAGTGTTTAAGGCATAATAAAAAATAAATTACAATACAAAAGTGCTCTTTAGGAAGGAGACACTAAACAATAGGCCCATATTACCCCTTGACTATTTAGCCAAGACATAAGCTGCAAATTTTGCTGAAAAAACTGTCCATACATTTTTAACTACTTCTTCATTATTCTTATGGACCATCATCTAGGACATCTGTTTGAAGAAATATCCAGTTATAATATTTTCAAAGGTTAGAATTGTGAAGAAAAAATATAAAATGTGATTAAAGGATATATAGCCTTCAGATGTAATTTACAGTTTTAAAATTGCACTTTAAAACTTTGCTTTTTTAGACAGTATAAAAGGCAGAATGAAACAGATATGTAATGAATTTCAGAATTGAGGTTCATATGTAGATCAAACAATTTTTTAAAAAATAGTATTGGAAAAATATCAAGGTCCATACATTTAAATACAGATAATGTTTGAAAATTCCAGTTTGTTAAAAGAAATAACATCTGCAGCCCAGTCAATTAAAAACTGAAAATACCAGTCTGTAAACATTGATCTTGAGCCTAAACTTTTAGATGTTTTCTATCCTTTGAACAAATACTTCTGTATCTGAGGCTTGGAAAAGACACTGGGAAACTAAACACTTTTAAAAGGCACTTTTCTTTCAATAGCCCACTTATAAAGTTTGCTTTATCTACCAGTATAGGGGAAAGAAAGAATAATTTTTTTTTTCCATTTAAAGTAGTTTTGGTATTTCTGTGCTCCATATCAAAGCCTTCCTCCCCCAAAATAAACAAGTGAATTAGAATTTTTTTTAAGAAGTTAACAATTTCTTCCAGTTCTCAGAGTTTTATATAAAACTGTACAAAATTATCATCATTTAGAGTTGATTTTTTTCACCAGCCCTGAATTTTCAAACTTGTAATATACTGTTTCACGGTATTTTTATTAAACTGCTTAATGATTCCAGTCTGCAAATGAGCATAGGCTTTGCTCTGTTATTATAGATCATTGAACTGGGGGGCAACATAGTAAGCTAAACAGTCTGTCACTGCTCATGAAAGACCCACATTGTTGATTATTTTTCCCAGCACAGAAGAAAAGTGACAGGTGATTCATCCTGCAATGGCATCTACCAGTCTTTTCATATCTATGCAACCTTTTGTAGTTACTGTGTGATTTAGCGTTGTGCTTTTGTAAATCTTGGATTAATTAACAAAACAACAACAAAAATCTATCACCTGGAATATTGAAAGAAATTCATTAAAACAAGATGTGTCTCCTAGTTAAGGAGAGACATAAAAATCAAAATGTCATTTAACAGTTTGAATTTACGATTTACTGTTAGTCAAAAACACCGAGGAGGCTTTGCTCACCTTTTAATTGAGAATATGGGAAGGAAAGAGAGTAAACACATTAACTGTAGTAGCAGAAGTGCTGCTAAAAGAAATAAATGAAAGGAAATATAATAGACAAATTGGCTTTTATCCCCTTTGATACCAATATATGTGTATACAAGTCATAACACTGTAAGTAGTGTCTTAAGGGCAAAAATGTAGCTTCTTGTTTATAAAACCTAATGAGCACTTGAAAACATTTACACTCTGAAATTAAATAAGACCTTAATAATGAGGCTGTGTATGACTGGTGATATGGAAGAGCACTGTGCTGGCTCCAGAGGGATGTTGCTTGTATATGCGGTAGAACTGGTTGGAAAACAGGTCACAACTGGAAAAGCCAAAGAAAAGTTTCCATTAACTTCAACAAATACTGGGGTTCTTGTTCTTGGAAATCATCAGCTTCCTAAAACACAAAACAAAAGTTTAAATGGATAACATATTTGAGAAGAGTGCAATAGGAATACTTGGCGTTATGAATTACATATATGTTATTAGAAAGAAAATATTCTGAGGGAAAATATTCATATTCTCCCCCAATTTAATTTTTAAAAGAAGTTTCCTAATCCTTATTACATAATTTTCAGAGTTAGTATCCTTAAATCATAGCCTCTAAGTACCTTGCATGGACACTTGGATGACCCACAACTTGCTCACACACATACATTCCATATTCTCCCCACTTCTCACTCTCATTACAAACAAAATCTGACATACAGAAAAGTAGAGAAGAGAGTGTGTGGAATTTACCCATCCCTTAAATTCATTAATTCATTCTTTTCTTACCTCATCTGCCCCATCACCTAATTCTGAAGCCTTTTTTGTTTTATTTGCTTTTTTCCTGTGCTTTTAAAGCAAATTGCTGACATTTACGCCTAAATACTCCAGTAAGCATTTTTCAAAATAGGTATGTTTTCTGTATAACTACAATACCATCACTATACTTAATACAAATTAAAAATAATTCCCTAATATTATCCATATATTTAACATTTTCATATTCAAGACTTTCCCAATTGTCCCTCTAAGCTTTTTTTTTTACAACAAGCTTGTTCACGCTATTATTCATTCAGTTGGGGATCACACATTGTGCTTTGATTGTGTTCATCTCTTAAGTTTCTTTTGATCTAAAACATCTCCCATATTTATTTTCCATGACCCCAACTTGTTAGATAATCCCCTTAATTTTAAAAAGACAATAACCGTTGGTTGGTAGAAACTCCCTGATGTTAATTTTGGTTTTCTGATTTTACAATACGATCATTTTTCTCCATATTTTATTTTATAAATCTTTGAGGTCTTTCACTAGAGCTTTAGCCTACAAAAATGTGACCCTCTTTGCAACTAATAATGGTCTATAAAAATTTTCTCCCATGTAAGAGAGCCAGAGTTTTACAGGATAAAGTCATTAATATCAAGAACTTTCTTATGAGTGTAAAATTTGTTTGCATGTCTGGATTTATAACATCTAGAAATTAAATGTGTGGACCTATTTCAGAGAATGGGAGAAATTCTGAGCATATGAAAAATAAATTGGCCGGGTGCAGTGGCTCACGCCTGTAATCCCAACACTTTGGGAGGCTGAGGCAGGTGGATCGCTTGAGCTCAAGTGAGACCAGCCTAGGCAACATAGCGAAACCCCATCTCTACAAAAAGTACAAAAACTAGCTGGGTGTAGTGGCCCGCACCCATGGTCCCAGCTACTTTGGAAGCTAAGGTGGGAGGATCACTTGAGCCTGGGAGGGGGAAGTTGCAGTGACCTGAGATCGCACCACTACACTCCAGCCTGGGCAACAGATTGAGACCCTGTCTCAAAAACAAAGAAAAGAAAAAGAAATTATCCTACTTTTTAAGTCCGATGAACCTGAAAACTGGAAAAATAAAATTATACACCACTAAAACTGGATTCATTTCATGTAGTTATTAGTGCCAATAACTAAATGAGAAGAGTTGAAATCAATTCCCAATAGTACAAAAGCTCTCCCGTAAAAACTGCCAGATACATCTATTGAGTCACTCTCTTAATACCGTAATTGGTTTACAATAAAAAAAAAAAAACAGAATAAGCAGATACTAATCTTTTGATTTAAAAAAGATTTATTTACTTGTTGAATATTTATTGGTAGTAGTAGTAATAAATATAACCCCAAAGCCACAAATAACCTTAGAATTCTCTCAGCTTTAATGGCAGTAGAGTCCAGCTTCTTAATCTTTCGCACAAAATACACTCCAAGGAGGAGCTATCCATAAGACTAATAGAAGACTTTTGTCTCCCTGACCCAGCTCCTCTAATTTCATATGGGAGACACCTAACAGCCATAAAGTGATCTGGGAGTCCTCATTAGAGATGGGCTGGACACGTCAGAAAGCTGAGGAAAGAAATCAACCTATTTGTGAACCTTACCATCTAAAAATGTTAGTCTGTGTCTTCTAAATAAACAGAGACCTTTTTCTCTTGGTTGAGCCTTTCCTCTTCTTTTCTGTAACAAAGAAGCGGAAACCGAATGTCAGGTGAACAA